ATCTAAACTAACTGCTATCCAAATAGTATTTCACTTAGATAAAATGTAATATAAATCATGTTTAGAAGCAGATTTGCATGGGTGTTGTGATTGTCCCCGTATCTTGTCTGGTTCAACCAGTATTTTTGTATTCTGATATTTTTAATAACAATAAAATAATAAGTTAAGACTATATATATATATATATATATATATATATATATATAGTTTATATATATATATATATATATATATATATATATATATATATATATAGTCTTAACTTATTATTTTATTGTTATTAAAAATATCTGAATACAAAAATACTGGTTGAACCAGACAAGATACGGGGAGCAAGTTGCACAACACCCATGCAAATCTGCTTCTAAACATGATTTATGTTACATTTTATCTAAGTGAAATACTACTTGGATAGCAGTTAGTTTAGATATATTAAAGGTATGATAAATGACTTACACGCCCTTCTTTTTCAGTGTAATAGCGTGATATGCGATTTTACGCCCACTTTCTTTATTTTAAATACCTCATATAGTTTGAAAGAAAAACTGATTACAACTAAAAGCCTTTACATAATTTTATGTTTTGTATTCACCACATCGGATTATATGTACTTCGGCGGTGATGGAAAACTTAGTCATGAAATCTGCATGTCTAGGGAATACACATGGTAGAGCCACGCTGCAGCTATATTATGTTTGTAGCACGAATGGGTAGGCTCGACCGGGGAAAGACCACTCTCTCACAGAATGTCAGCGTAAAATAGCGTAAATTAATACTGCTGTGTTTCGTTGAGTGTAGAGATCCGGAGACTCTTTTTTACTGGAAACGAGGCATTCCATCTTAGTCGTCAGGGGTGACAACGCATCTGCGTTTTGATTGTTAATCGAGGATAAATGCCTATGGGCCACAGCATCCACTTACCATCAGGAGGACTATGTGTTCGTTTGTCACCCTTATTCTATAAAAAAAAAATACTCCGAGGACGTGCAAAGTTCACCGCCATGCACTGGAACAGCACGGTGGAATATTTTCTCTAAAACCATCCGGATGTTTGGCGGTCAACCACTGAGCGATTTACTAGGAGTTTTCTTCCTCGAACGATTTCTTTGCCTATCGACTACCACTGGCGATTTTGCCGGACCGATACGACTTAGGAACCTTCAAGAAACAAGCTTAGTCATTTCTTGTGATGTTGCAGTTGCTTATGGGTGGTGGTCACTTACCATCGTGTGCATGTGGTAGTCAAAACAATTCCAGCAAACTGCAGTCGTTAAAATTCCAAATTACAGACAGAACAAAGCTAATAATTATTACTGAATACATATTGCTCCAAAGTAGAAACAAATTTACTATTTCTTGGTTGGGCCCTTTTACGTCTAAATAATACCTTTTATCCTAATATCAGTCTATTATTATAAATATAATATACACTGACAGCTAAAATGGTTATCCTTTTCTGGATTTATTATTCTTCTTTTTTTCTTATTTATCAGCCCGTAGCAGTCAAAGGCTAGGCATAGATTTTTTTTAAGTTCGATTTGCCGCAACCACTACCTTCTGCAGGTGGAGTGTCTATCACAGAATGAGAGGCCTTGCAAGTTGTCCCTTCTGTTTATTTTTATAGAATAGGGTGACCAACGAGCACAGTTCACGCGATAGTAAGTGGATGCTGTGGCCCGTACACATCTTTATTTATCTTCGATTAAAAATAAAAATTCAGATACGTTGTCACACGTGAGGACTAAGATAAAATGCCTCGTTTCCGGTAAAAAGGGTCTCCGGAAACATAGCAGCATTGAGTTGCTATTTTACGTTGGTATGCGTGGTCCCTACCCTGGTCGAGCCTACCCATTCGTGCTACAAATATAATATAGTTGCAACGTGGCCTTAGCACTTAAAAATTCCGTTGTAGTTTTAGCTATTGTACGATTATGTAGACGGTACCTAGTATCAGTTCAGTTTTTTCTATTATGTCAATAAGATCAAAAAATATTATTCATGTTTCATCCGTATGTAATTTGTATCTAAATGTAATTTCAAAAAAAAACCGAGCAAAGCTCGGTCATCCGGGTACTATTATATTAGATGTTTTAGTTATTGCTACATTAGAAATAATTGTTGAAAAATCATTGTAATTTGGAAGAGTTATATTAAGATTGTGTTTAATTAGGAATGATGGTTATGATGATATATAACTTTCAAATGAATACGAGCTTCACCTACTGTATGTTAATTATTGTACTATGCCTATAACCTTGGTACAAGTGCAAGCAATAACTTGACAAAGTTTTAGTGCAATCTGATGAACGGCATGGTACTACTAAAATACGAACAAACGAACTTTGCTTTGATTATATACCTGTATTTATATAATCAAAAGAACTTTAATTTTTATATATTAGATTATACCTACTACCAAGTAACTACCAGTAACAAGAGTGCTATCACATGGCTCTTTTAACAAACATTTGTTCACCATAGGTGTTACTGATAGGCATACGGGCCTATCAGTAACACCTATGGCCCTGCAGGGCATGCATGGGAGAGGAAGATGATGTCTAGAAGTCGCTTCATACAGGGCTAAACATCTCGGCACGCCGAGATCGCTCCCCGAAGTTGCTTGCAACATCAAGGGACTGCTGAGCTTCTCCCACACTCAAAATACGCGCTTAGACGTGGAGTTGCGGAAAACAGCCCGTCGTAAACTAAACTAATACCTACTACCTTCGCTATTTAGTAGTCGCTCCTTTGGATTCTATTGTCGAACTTGTTTAAAAAAGACCACTGAATAATGCATTGCTTACCTAGAATGTGTGTTATGTAATACATAAGTACATTAAATAGCTTAGCTTTGATTAAATTACAAAAGCAGCAGCTTTATATAACTTAATTAGGTAGATTGATACCGATAAAGGTTTTATTTGGCCTGATTGGGCACCTAAAGTTTTTAATGTTTAACTATCGTAGTGGGTGATAGACGACTTTTACCACCTGGAAGTCCATCTGGGTAGGGGCCACTCTATCCTGTTTCTGTTGCAAGCACGTGTGCAAGTTACAGATTGTATTGCATTTCATGTCAGTCCTCGGTTATGAATTCGCGCCCGTGGCATTTTTGTTTGAAGTTGAAGCATGGACTGCAGTAGTTAAAAAAAAAACAGTAAAGTATGGGATCAAATTTCTTTTTCCACGATTTATTGGGTATTTACTTTTACTGTTTAGCTATCCAACCATTTGCCGGTAATGGATATAGTAATAGAGAGAAAACTTGCGGTTTTAATGAACAGGAGAGATCAGTGAACCGAGCCAGGTCGCAGGTGTCCCGGGTATTTATTTATGTTAGTAGAAAGTTCAGGGTCATCAATGCAATGCTTATTTACTGCCGATATATCCGAGATAATTACTTTCTTATCACGCAACCTCAAAAGAAATAATAAATGACAAGTGCAAAACACTTCGAAAGTCTTTTAAAGGCGAGTTTTTTTTTAAATAAATTATAACGTTCCACTTTTTCTTTTTAGGAAAAAAAATAGCACTTGCTAAATTAAGATCATGTTGTCTTATTTCGGCGAGTGATTAATGGGAGAAATGTATGAAAACCCAAGAGCTAAATATCAAGTGAAACTTAATATTACTGAATATTGTTCGTCACGTAAACGAAAAATGAAAAATTTGATTATCAGTGAGAAATAGATTAAGCCAAATTAAAAGGATTGAAAAATACTAACGCAAAGTATAGTTATGAGTAAAGGTTAATGGCACAGTACTACTTAATAATAATAATGTCCTCCAGACCGAATTTCGGTCACGGCGCGGCGGCCTGCCTCAACGGAGGCTAGCCATCGGCGCAGGACAGGATTATAGTGCCCAAGTTTATGCGCAAGCACAGGTGCACTCTCTATTCCCTCACTCTCATGGTCCGTTTTGACGGTAAACCGACACAACCGGAGAGAGATTAGGCGCAGGATCAACGGCTTTACGTGCTTTTCGAGGCACGGGTGTGAGACACCGCCAACTCCTGACTCCGGGCAGCTACTGAAAATTTTTAATGGAAAAACTCAATAACTGATATTTTTAGCCCCGACCCGGGATTCGAACTGGGACCCCATGATTAGCAGTCTCATTACTACAACCACTCGACCAACGTCACAGTACAACTTATAGACTTAACACATTAGAGTAACAAAAAAGGTTATCTGTTACCGGCACCTACAGCCAATTTTTCGTTGAAAAACTGAGAACGTCACCGATGCGCTGTCACCTTTGAGGACTAAGATTAAATACCATGTAATTTGTGGCGGCTTTAGGGAGGGGCGATCCGAGTATCCGTCTAGGGCACTACCCCGGATAGTAGTAGTAGCCAACCCAGGTAACACCCCTACAATAACCCTATGCTTACTTCACTACTTATTATCAGACAGTATTTAATCTGATAACATAGCCCACCTGGGTTACAACCTAAGGGCACATGATATTAGGTAGGATTGCGGCCAAGCACTGATTTACTAAGTAAATGCGCAAATTTTTCTCGCCCGGATCGCCGCTCCGCACCACACCGGGACGCTCGTATTGCCTGTAATTATACCTACTAACTATATTATGTTTAAACCAGAATAAAGCAACGTCTGCCCTGATACTGACTTGGTGGCGCGAATACATGAGGAGGTGATGGTACCTAACTACCCAGACGGGTGATATTGGCTAGTGGACTCTTCACTCTGAGTCCCATGCAGAACATAGGCCTCCCCGATACATTGCCTCACAGAGGGATATTTGCCATACTTGCCACGCTTGGCAAGCGGGTTGGCAACCGCATTTTTTCCAAATTTTTAGTCGTTTTTAGAAAGACGCTACTGTCCATCTCCTGATTTGTTTCCCTCTGTCGCCTTTTACGATACCCACGGGATGATGTGGGGTAGTGGATTAATGTTATAAAAATAAATATACAGTGTCTTCAAATTATTTTATGTTTAATACTTATGTCTATGTATTGTTCTTTCCAGCCACGCGAGAGAGGTCGTATGCGCTTCCACATGCTGCAGAATGTCCAGATGGCGTTGGACTTCTTGCGCTATAAGAAGATCAAATTGGTGAACATCAGAGCTGAAGACATCGTTGACGGCAACCCTAAGCTGACACTTGGTCTCATTTGGACCATTATCCTGCACTTCCAGGTTAGTGCGCTTGGTTTATTGTTATATCTATGGTTTTTTTTTAGACTAGTTCAGTTTATAATTGTTCTTTTATGTATAATTTTTTTAAATAATTTTACAGCGGTAATAATGTTCAGTTCAATGGACGTGCAGTAGTTGATGATTAAGATTTTTTACCAATTTTCTCATTTTTAAAATACATAAGAATTTTCATTACGATACAATTGAGGACTTTATTTCTGGTAATTAAAACATCTTTTAAAATGAATATTTAAAACATTTTCAAATTTTTGATATCAAATCTGTATTCAACATTATTGATAATAGCAAAACAAACCTATAACACATATTACTTAAAGTCATCAAATAATCTATTATTAAAGCAGTTATCTCGTAATTTTATACATGATGTCAAGGAAAGCAAGTTCCAGCATCGTCCACTGAGACACAATCCTAAATATCATCTACATCACTGATTCTTCGAAATCCAAAAAAATAAAATAATCAAGGAACCAAACCACCCTGAGTTTTTCAGAAATTTTTTGCCATGCACAATCTCATTGTGGGATTTAATGTAGCGGTTTTACCGAACTCTTTTCTATAATGCCGGCAACGCACCACACGCAATTCTTCTGTTTTTCGATGTTTTTCTCCATCTTTTATAAAAAGTAGGCATCGACAAATCTTTCCGTGTAAATCTTGGTAATAAGTAAATTCTTTGCTCGTTTAATACCGTTACAGCGTATTAAAGTGCACTGCTGAACAAACGGCTCTCCATAAGATTGCTCATATGACAGATGTTTACCATAGCTGCCACGCTTGGCAAGCGGGTTGGCAATTGCAGTTTTTTATCTTTAGTCAATATTAAGAAGAGGCTGCTGCCCATCTTCTGATGTATCCTTCTGTCAATTTTTACGACACCCACGGGATAATAATATGATATGATGGAAATTCTTGCACCGCCTCTACATAGTAGTTTAATATCGTACGTTCATGTTCATGTTCATGTTCACGCAACCTCGCAACCCCATTCATTTTAATTTTTTTCTTTAGTCGAATAGATATTTATAAAATGAGGGGTCATAGCAACCGAATATCTATTTCGGCATAGCCTTGACCGGAACAACGGGGACGATGTCCGCTCTGAGTTATAAGTGTTAATAATCCTATTACAGGCTTCTTACGTCGCGATACGGTCGCTTCTAATGATATTAATTTAGTTTCGTGTGTTCCTAGCTTACGTGACTTTGTTTACGACTAAGACGTATTAAAGTTTAATAAAATTAATAATTGTGATTTAATTGTTTGTAGTGCAGTTCTCTCTCTTTCTTTTTCTTCTCATCTATAATCCGGCCAAGAGAGAAATGTGTGCAATAAGAATCAATGTTTTGTGGTAATCAAGTGTATGCTGAACTTATCCTCTTTTTTTAATCTTGTTTTTCCTTTCTCTACACTTTACTCTATATTAACGTTAAATCAATAGTTAACAAAACTTATGACGCTTAGTTTCGAAAGGTCTATTCACCTTAAGTTCTCGTTAAGAGGTCAAGGCAATTAAGAGGATATCAGGGCTGCAAAAAAAAATTGAATAGGGTTTCAACGATCTGTTGCGTGCGCCGTGGTCGAACTACCGAGCTAGGCAAACGATAGAAAAAAATGCAGCTCCGATTGATTATATCTGTGAAAAATTGATGGAAACATCAGACCGTATTGCTCTGTTTCCTCCTCCAAAATTAGAACGATTTTGATTTTTCATCAACGATTTACGAAGGATTGAGTCCATGTGTTTTGCTTTTATTTTTCATCTTCATTTAATTTTTGTTAGCTGTATGTATTATATTATATATTTTAGTATTTACGAAGATTTCAATTTTTTTTAAATAATTAATTCATGGAAGAAATAAAACATTAAATTAACATAACAGTTGTAGATATAAATTGTATGGTAAAAATATTTGCTCAAGAATCATCATCTAGGGGAGAAAACAGAGAAATCGTTTTTATGGACTATACGCCGTACGGATTTCCTCTTAACACGAAGAAGGTTACAGACGCATTGTCACCTCTGAGTACTAAACACCACAGCTCACAGCCTCTAATGAATCTGGCTATCTATATCCGGCTATTATTTGTTCAAAAACCTCTAAGCATGAGACAAGGCCAGCGTTTTATATTATAGGCTTTAGCATTAGGTACTTTCATATACAACAAAAGGACGTAGGTATATGTTTTTAAAAATTTAAAGTTAAAGTGATAAACGTTCTTACAGTTCACCTGATGTATCGTGGTTACTGCAGTCCATAATCCTGCAACAATTGTTCAGGTAACGATACTGCCTTTTTACCCTTCAGACCTGTACGCTGAATAGTTAAGATACTTGTACTTTGCGGCAAAATTAGATTAAGGGAGTATCTAAGGACTACTTATAGAGGGTGGTATCTATAGAATATTTTTGCGTGTGTTATGAGTTATGACCACTTATAATCACTACGGCCACAATATTAGTGATACAAAAACTTGTTTTTAAGGGGAAATATAACCTCAAATGGCTTAGCAAGATCCTCCGTTATGCCGAAAGTATTGCAGCATTAATTTTGAAATAAATATATGGTAAAGTTGAGGATTAATGTTAAGGTTTATGTTAGATGAAAACACGATTCCGTAAAATTTTCTCGATATAAAAAAAAATCCAAAGTTACCTCCAAACTGAAAAATAAACCGCTGTTATTCATAAAATACTTTAAATAAGATCATGAAACTTTGCATACTAACTGAACTAACTATAAAGCAGTGCTTATGTTATTTACTTTTTTTAAAATACCATTATTTTCACTGTAAAAAGAAATTACCTAAACTATCGGCGCGTAAGCTTGATTCCTGTCGCCCCATTGGTATAGCTGCGGCTTTTGAAGGGAGAAGTTGTGTCACTTACGATCAGAAAACACATTACGCAACAGGTTGACGTAAAATTAAAATGGGAAATAACCGTTATAAAAATAAGAAGCGAGTGGGTTGGCGTTAAGAAACAGGCATAAATATGATAAACCTAATGAAATAAGTATCTAAGATTCTATAGAGTATTAGTGATTACAAACATGTCGGTACATAGCATACGACGCGCGGGGAAGTGGGAGCGAAATTAGAATTTGAGCTGACTTACTCTCACCTCTTAAGAGATAAATACAATTAGACTTAAATACCTTGTTCTGCTACTTCAAGCGATTAATTCTTGTCATTAGGATCGATATGGATAAGACAAATATCCTTTTACATCGTGTCTGCACTCACCATGACATAGAAATTGCGTATTCAGTGCGCTCGCGATTGCGAAAATTACCGCGAGCTATGTATATGTGCTTATTGCCTTGTCCGTTTGTTTTGTCCTTACGCGTCCGTCTCCGTATCTTCTATTAGTAAGCAAATATAAGTTTATAAATGACTTCATAGTTTTTTCTAATATATTGGGAGGAACTAGAAGGATACTGTTATTATCTGAGGGTAACGCGGATTAATAATGATATCAGGATACTGAACATCGTAATCTTTAATTTTGGTGCCGCCAAGTGCTTACAAAATTACTGAAGAGATAAGATACAAAAAGATAAATAGTTATACTAAATGTCAGATACTTAGTAGACCTTAGTTTAACTAATATATCAGTTTGTATCTAAAATTAGCGAAACTAATATAAGAGTTCGGTAATAAGAAGCACCATCATATTTAATGTTCTTAACCCGGCCCGATAAGCGTAGTGATGCTGAAGTGAAGATCATTTCAATATAAGAACATTCCTTTTTATAAAAATAATGTGCAAAATGGCTACAATTTAAGGCTTTTGTTAACACAAATACAAATCACCACAGTCAAATCACACTTATTTCTTACACACTACCAAATCTGTCAAGCTTAATTATCATTTTGTCTTTTGTTATATTGTGACCTCCCGACCATTCTTTGCCGGGAGAGGGCTGCTTTGAAATTCTGTGGGAAAAATACGTCGCCTTTATTCACATCACAGAGTAAAGCTTGACGGAAGTAATATTTGTATGGTCTACAAATAGTTGTTCTGAGTCTAGGTGTTTGTCCATGTGTACTAATTATTAACTTATGCATGTGAAATACACCTAAGAGCCTAAAGTAAGTAACCTTTAAAATACATTATCCGCACCATAATAGTAAATCGAAAGCGTAGAGCATCCTGCATTCCTTTCGCACTTGAACTTTCCTGATCTTCAACAATAGCGCTCAAATTATCACGGATATTAAAGTAGTAAAGTCATCAAAATATTACTGTGCATAAAGTTTACGGGATATAATTCACTTTCTACTTCCACGTTGCGTAACTAATCCTGTAATAGATATTTCATCACTGATATGCTGTAAAGTTATTAATAACGTTGTTTGTATGAATGAAATATTTGAGAACGTCACAAGATACAGGTTTGTAAAATTATAAAGCGTGTCACATACTACGCAGATACAATAAGATATCTGTATCTGAGCGCATATCTTTCAATATCGCTCTCTATGAAATTCAATGAACTAATACACAGCGCAGATAATTTATATTTTAACGTTAGGTTCTGGTATCTGTAAGCACCGACAGATTCCGTATATCGAAAGATAGTGACAACATTATTTGCTCATACAAATATATCTGCAGATACAAATAAGGCACAGTATTTTACTGAATGTTCGCTGAAAAAATGCGATTAAATTCGCCTCGGTCCTTTTTAAGCTTTATATGACTATTCTAATTCTTTGCCTTTTAGTAAATGTTAATGCAACACGTACATCAAAATTAAAATCTGAATGCTATTCTGCCGGGCTGTCTGGCAAATCTAAAAGCAATCTACGCGAACTCATTCTGGATGACACTCTGTATAAACAATCCGCTCCAAAAACACGTCTTGTAAGTTTGAAGGATTTCGAGTAAATGTTTCATTTCGTATATATTTAATCGTATCTGCGTAGTGTAAAGTATCACACTTTGAGATAATCAAGTTTTCATACGCAGATAAAATATTGTATCTGCGTAGTCTGTGACTCGCTTAACGCCTAAAGTGAGAGGTATCTAATACTGTCTAGGATCGATCAACCGCCTACTAAGTTTTTATTAGGAAATTAGTCAGATACATTAAGAGAACATTATAGTTCAGTATAGTTC